CCAATGAGAAAAATACAAACCAACCTATAAAGTTGGCGAAGTTCACAAGAATAATAATCCCTACTTTTAGATATTCTATGATAATTATCCCTACTGAGAGTTTTCATGAAAACAATCGAAATTAGCAATACAAGAATAAATTGGGGTGAGCTCAAACAAGCAGTAGTAAAAGAAAGAGAGAATGAAGCAACGTCATTAGATTGATAGATCTTTATAATTTTATATAACACCAAAAGAATAGTTTGGGGCAGCTCAAGAAATGCTATTTGATCAGCCTTCTATATGTACAAACCAACAATTTTAAATTAGGTACAAATAAGAAAATAATCTTAGGAGATAAATGAGAATGAATATGCACCGTTAGAATTGATTTATGTGAAATTCAATGTGCATGAGATAAAACTATATTGTGCATTAGGTGAAATTGAAATTTGCAGCACAAAGAGTATGATACAGTGGCAATATGTATAGTTCAATTATGTTTTACGTGAAATTGAAATGTGAACTGGATGAAACTGAAATGTGCAGAATAAAAGGTACGATGTGATGCCTTTTTTGTACCTTTTAATCTACACATATCAGTTTCATCTGATGCACATTTGAGTTTCACTTTTTATTCTGCACATTTCAATTTCGTCTAATGCACATTTCAATTTCATGAAATGCATAATTCACTTCCACAAAATACAATCTAACGGTCTAGATTGATTCTCATTTCTCTCCTATGAGTCCTTTGTTACCAGAACCGCTCCCTATGTATGTGTGATAATATATATATTAGAGATCAAATACAAATTAGGCTTAATTTACTAACCTACAAACTAATCATGGCCCTCCATCTTAATTAGATTGCCACACGGTTGATCTTTTACTTGATGGGCTAAGAAGTCTTTTTGGTTTATTTTTATTTTTGGAAAAAATCATATTCCCTAATTTCTCTAACCAGTTTCCATCCATGTTCATTCATCAACATCTACCGCCACTAACGTATGTCATCTCCATCTTTTTCTTTGTTTCCATAATGACGGGTTGCAGTAGTAGTGGTAGATTAGCATAAATGATGGGATTGTATTCTATTTATTTCCTATTTTAAATTTGACCGTTCCTTTTTTTAAAAGTTAATTTACCCTTGTATCCTCCCCCATTAACTAAACGTAGTAGTGGCACAATCATATTTGATTCCATGTATCTCACCTTACAAATTCATACGATGGTTGCTATATGGACAACCATTGATTTGGCTAATCTGGACGCACGTGAATAGTTTGTAGTTTGCATCGGAAGCCTGGTTTGCATGGGATCTCCCCCCCACCCCCCCTATATATATATATATATATATATATATATATATATATATATATATATATATATATATATATATATATATACATATATATATATATATATACATATATATATATATATACATATATATATATATATATACATATATATATATATACATATATATATATATACATATATATATAGGGAGCGGTTCCTGTAAGAACGGACTCCCAGGAGAGAAATGAGAACGAATCTGGACCGTTGGATTGTATTGTGTGGATCTGGATTGTGCATTTGATGAAACTGAAATGTGCATAAGATGATATTGAAATGTGCAGAATAAAAATTTAAACTCAAGTGTGCATTAGGTGAAATTGAAATGTGCGAAAAAAAAGGTACGAAAATAACATCACATCGTACCTTTTATTTCACCACATTTCAGTTTCACCTAGTGCACATTTCAATTTCACCTAATGCACAATTCAGCTTCACATAATGCCACTGTATCGTACTATTTGTGCTGCACATTTCAATTTCACCTAATGCACATTAAAGTTTCATCTAATGCACATTGAGTTTCATTTAAAGCAAATCTAACGGCCCAGATCCATTCTCATTTCTCTCCTAAGATCACGTTCTTATTTGAACCAAAACCTATGAAGTATATAGTAATATTCATGTGCGGCCGGCCGCACCAGAGGGGCCGTCCGGCCGACGGCGTTTGGCCGCCTTCCCGATGAAATTTTTTGTTGAAATTTTTATGATATGTTCTTCATCAAGTCTAGTTTATCCACAAAAACAATCAGCTAAAAATTCAATCCGGAAGGTCGTCAAATGATTTTTTGAAGTTGACTGCGTTTTTTTGTGTGTAATTTTGCACAGTTAACTTCAAAAAATCATTTGAATACCTTCCGAATTGATTATTTAGCTGATTTTTTGGTGAATAAACTACACTTCTTGAAGAACATGCCATAAAAATTTCACCAAAAAGTTTCACCGGGAAGGCGGCCTAACTCCGTCGGCCGGATATCCCCTCTGGTGCGGCCGGACGCACCAGAAAACTACTATATATATATAGTTTTTAACGGAACCGCACCCTATATATGTGTGTGTGTGTGTGTGTGTGTGTGTGTGTGTGTGTGTGTACACACACACACACACACACACACACACATATATAGGGTGCGGTTCCGTTAAAAATCATTCTTATCGTGCAAACTGTAAACCGTCACTTTTGACTCAATTTGATTCACTATAAAGCTCGTCTCTTGCACTTTTTAAACTTTGGTCGAATCATTTCAAATAGAAAAAAAACGGTGGCACTTTTGTAAATAAGTCAAAGTTGTATGTCTTCGTGAAAAAGATTAATATAGAAAGCTAATAGTGCATCAGAATGGGGGAAAAGTGATCGGTTTGTAGTTTTCATGGGAAGAAAGGTTTTTATTTGATCCGAAATCTATATATATATATATATATATATATATATATATATATATATATATATATATATATATATATATATATATATATATATATATATATATATATATATATATGGAGCGGTTCCAGTGAGAAAGGATTCTGAGGAGAAAAATGAGATTGAATTTGTACCGTTGAATTGTATTATGTTGAATTGAATTGTGCATTTAGTGAAACTAAAATGTGCATCAGGTGAAATTGAAATGTGTAGAATAAAAGGTAAAAGGTTAGAAAGGATTCTGAGGAGAAAATTGAGATTGAATTTGTACCGTTGGATTGTATTATGTTGAATTGAATTGTGCATTTTGTGAAACTGAAATGTGCATTACATGAAATTGAAATGTGCAGAATAAAAAATTAAACTCAAATTAATGCACATCCGGAGTATGTAAGGGCAGTGGCGGAGCCAGAAATCTATAGTTAAGAGGGCCGGTCCTTAAAAATTTTACATTGTAGAGACCAAAGTTTAAAATATCAACATATTTTGTATAGATTAAAAGTATTTATACATGATATATACTTAAGAATTTTTTTCTGCAAAGGCCGAGGCCCCCTCTAGCCCCTCCATGTCTCCACTCCTGTGTAAGGGGGTTGGATGTGCAAAGACTGTCTTCAATTCCAATGGAGTATATAAGATTAATTTTGTGTTATAAAATAATGTAAATTTATGAATAATCAACAGTCAAATTTGAAACTCCCAAACAAGAGGAGGGAATCCCTTCCATCTCCTTCCCTTTCCCTTCTCTCTACTCCCCTTCAAATCCTTCCTATTCCCTCACCCTCAAACTCCCAAACACACTCTTAGTGAATGGAGAAAGTTGACCATCATAACAAATATCCAACTTGTGAAGCAGTTTGTTAAATGTAACTTTAGTGCAACTTGTGAAGCAGTTTGTATAAAATTTTCTACAAGTATCACCAGCTGGCCAGGGGAAACAATATGATTGAATAGAAGACCTTCCGAAATTAAGTGGTATATAGTTGACTTGAATTTATTTGTTTCTGTCATGGAAAATCAAATTAGCAGCAAAGTGTAAAGTGGCTTGTAAAGAATACGTAGTACACAGTAATATAGCGCAAAAACTGGAGTATGCAAGCCCAAAAAAGCATTGAAGACATTCCGGAGTAAATTAAAGTACTGGTATTTGACTTCAATGCATTTCTTTCGGTCGTAAAAAATCAATTTAGCTGAATATACAAACTCAAAAAAATTATTGAAGAGAATCCGGAATAGTGGCAGTTGACTTCAATAGCTCAATGTATGATTGTATGATTAACAAAGTGATTAGTGGTTATTTGCAGGCTTAGAAGACTAATAAACAATTACGTCATGTTTAACAAATGTGACAACACTGATAATTAAGGTTCAATATATATATCAAAATGGCTATATCACTTATATGAAAGGCTAAACTTCACAGTTCCCACAAAGAGCATCACCTTGGACCATAGAGCTAATTAAGATTAAAATATCATTAATAACCACAAAGCGCAAAGTCTGTTATTGTCTTGGATCCTATCAAAATATATCATACAGTATTTAATTATTTACTATGAACAATTCATCTTCTAACAGGAACTATTTTGGTGAATGTTTAGGTGAAAGCTGAACCAACATTACTGATTAGTGTTTTCTAAGAAATACTGCGTATTAAACTTTTGTACTTTAATTAATGATGCCAATACATGGAACTTATTAAGAAGCAAAATAATATAGTTTCTTTTAAAAGGAAATTGATAAAAGCGATATGTGTATAAAACAATATCACTCAATCTTCTTGTAGATTTGCCCGTATGGTGAGTAATTAACCATTTCCTAATTACTTCCAAATTATTATTTTCTAAATATTTAAGTCGTTCAAACATATTCATGTGTTTTTTGTGTTAATTTATTGTGTGATGATCTTTTATGAGTAATACAAATGTTTTTGTTAAGGATGTTTAAGTTGGACTGCAATTTTCTGATCTGGTCTGTTTAGGTCTAGTCAGATGTTTGGTCTATGCAAGTTTGGTACATGAAATGTGCAGGTTTGGTGCTTGTTTTGTGCAATTCTATACGCATGAACTCTGCAGGTTTGTTGTATGAAATGTGCAGATTTGGTGCATGTAATTTTTTGTCTATTAATCACTTTTCAGTTTAAGAATGTTTGTTATCTATAAAAGGATAACATTCTACAACACATGTTGATTTATGACAAGTCTAAAACAAAACTAGACGAAACGTATGCAAAATTGTCAAAACTTTGGGTTGCATTATATTGAAATGCTTTCTATAAAAGGTCTACAATTGTTGATGTACATAGGTAAAAACATCACTCAAGACCCATTTATGACAAGTCAAAAATGTATGATAAACAAAAGGCCCTAATGGTACAAAAGAAGTTCATACCAGATGCACATCAACCCTCTCTGCTTCGAAACCTAAATGGAGGCTATTTCTATGAGATTAACTAGACAATGTTCTTTACAAATAAAAAGTTTGCCAAACATGTCTGCTCAAGGAGGCATCATCATTGCTTGTTGCAATATCCTGGTTTCACATAGGCATTTTTGTTCCCTAGACCCCGCTTGGGAATGTCATGTATCTGCACAAACTGAGTTGTCCTCTGCCTCTTCGCTAAACAAGAATTAGGAAAAGACGATAAGAACTTATGGAAGAAATATTTTTTAGCATTAGAATTAAAACAAAGTTTCGTCATATAGTAGTTCAAGACTTTATATGTTCGTTTATGGTTTTTCAGTCACTTAATTTGAGATGGCCGGCAGGCCGGGGGACATACCATATTCGACAGACTCATAACGTTCTTTAAGTTTCCTCTTCGCCACTTCCAGTCTTGCTTGAAGTGAGTCCTCATCTGGACACTTCACCTTCTAGTCAACCAAACAGAATTAAAGAAATCAGATAATAGATCAACAGATGAAAGGGAAAAAATAGCTTTAAGAAAGCACTTTGAAGCTTACACTTTGTTGAGAAACAGCGGGCCTCTTGGTAATAGTAGCCTTATGTTCCACAGTTGGTTTTACCAGTCTTTGTGAGCCAGAGCCATTAGCAGAAGGCTTGTTTGGTCTGCTAGTGGTTGGCTTCTTAATTGTGGATTCCTTTTCCTTTGGCAGTGGAGTAAACCAATCTTCAGAAGCAGAAATTACTGCAGGTTTCTTCATTACAGCCTCTTCTGCCTTGGGTTTCTGAGCATGCCTTTCTTGAGAAGCAGAAGTGGCTGATTTCTTCATAACAGCCTCATCTTCCTTTTGTGGTTTAGTATGCCTCTCTTGAGAAAAAGCAGTTGATGGTTTATGCAAAGCAGCTTCTTGTCTCTTTGGCTGCTTTCTAACACTCTCACACTTCTTGTAGAACTCCTCGCTGTTTCGAAGATCTGGAAAAAAATGTCAATCAGAATAACTCACTTCCATCTTCATTATTTTTCATTGTTCAAGAACTAAGAGCACTATTCAATACTTACTTCCATCTTCATCTAAGTCATCAAAGATCTTGAAGCGTTGACATGAGAGCAAAACAAATGCAAATTAATACATTGATCATGGAAAATCATACAAATAGGAATAAGAATGCCAATTAGAAGGGAAGCATATGGATATATATACCCCTGAAAGGTCCATTGTACTAGTAGTAAAGAAAGCTCCCTCATCCATTGGCGGAGATGGTAGCCCTTCCTCTTCTTCTTCCACTTCTTCCACTGCTGAAGCTTTTTCTTTCCCTGACTCGGGAGTGTGTTGTTTACCTTCCATACATTCTACAAAGAAACAACTAACAAGATCAATCTTCTTCTTGCTCTCATTATTATGAAAAAATCAAAGTTTTCCCGACAGTATATTTGGATGGAAGGTTTTGTAGGGCTTTGCAGGGTAAGGCTTTGGAGAACTTAATCTATACCTTGATAAATAGAACGTTTTTTACAAATTTACAAGATAATTGAAATGTTATAGATCATATACTATGTTATCCTTTAAATTTAATAAAATCCCAGATACATGTATTGACTAAGCCCTCAAAAGTTTTCCTGACTGATCTAAAACCCTCCGTCCAAACAAACCCTATGCAACTACGCAACTACCTGTCAAAGCTTCTGTGGCAAGGACCCATTCATCCGCCTTTTCCTTCCAAGCTCTGCAAATGGTGCAATCCAACCAGTTCATCAGCCATTAATTCAATGTAAGTAACACAAACAAAGCAAAAAATTAATTCATTTGATCATTACCCAATCAATGCCTGTGCAACATGCTTAATTTGATCAGATTTGTGCTTCCGGATAGCATTTACAGACTTTCCAATATTTGTGACCTGAACCAAGGCACCAAAATTTAACTCCTCTGTTGCATATAAAGTAACATATCCAAACAGACATGAAATTTAGCAAATGAAGTATAACACCAAGGGAAAATGCAACAAAGTATAACAAAAATGGGCAAAACTAATCATCAAACCTTCAGAATCTCCACAGACAAAGCCATCAATTGAAGTCTTCTAAGGGAATCAATCACCAAGTAATCAGGCTGTCAGAAAAGGAAACACCAATCTATATAAATTAAACCCAAAATAGCCAAGAAAATCTAACATGAGAGTATAGAAATGAGATCAAACACAAAGGTTAGATTACTCTAGTCTCACAAGCTTGAAGCTCCCAAGAAAAACTAAATCACATTTAAAAAAAGAATCAAATACCAGTAAAATCTAATCAATAACTGATAAGCATCTGTATTTTATCCACACACGCAAAATCAGAATTTCAAATTTCTTTATTTGCATAGCAAGTTCCATGAATTGATAAAGCAAGAAACAGAAAATGAGATAAATGACACTTGATCAAGTAAATACAAACAAAAACTCCAGAAATGATGAAGAACTAATTCAACACACAAGGGAAGTGATACAAACCTCTTCTTGATGGTTATCGATGATCTGCTTGATCCTCAAGACCTCATTAACAGTCTTAGAAATCTCCTCAATCTCATCACTCAAAGCCTCAGCATCTGCATAGCAGCTGCCATTGCTGATCTGGTTGCTGGCATTGAGCTCCATATCCAAACGATCATCATTCATTTTTCTCTCTTTGCTCTTATCAGTCTCCACTAGCTTGGTGAGTTCAGTGGTTTGGGACATGGTTTGGGAATCATCAGGCCGTAAAACCAGCTCGACATTTCTGCAGGTGGAGCACAAGGTGGTTGTTTTACATGTGAAAAGCTTCTCAGCAATTCGAGCTCTATTCAATGTCAGCTCATTGGGCTTGTCTAGGGCTGCCACTGTAATAGCGTGCTCGATTATATCGAATATATCCGCATTGGCACTCTTAAAATACACCCTCCATTCATCAAGGCTATTAGAATTCTCACCCATATCAAGAACTCTACTGAACTTCTCTTCTGAACCGATAATCAGATTCTTAGAAATACCCAGACACCAAAGTTCAATCCTTTGCTGACTTTAACGATACCCAGAATTTAAAATTAAAAACAAAATTGTATCTCGAAAAAGACTAGTAGCCTTTCGATCTTACTCTTTTTCCACAGGTGTTTTGACAGCTTACAAAATTTCCTGTCAATCGTTGGGAAAGCTCAAAATGGACAGAGAAGTTTCCGGAAAATCAGACAAAATTCCAAAATAAAAACGGGGAGGGGGTGAGGGGACAAAATTCAACAACAAATTAAAAGTTGGAGACAAAGAATGTCTGATGGTGAGTCATGAAAACGAGTGAGAGAAGCGAGAAGAAGGCATGAACACGCGGGGATGGACTGAAGGAGAATATATGTTGAAGAATGTAAGATAGGAATTCAATGTCTCTCTCGAGAATATAGAATACAGTATAAGGTGCCGTCGCAGAGAGAGAGCGAGGGAAAAGACTCCGGTGAAGGCCAAATTTTGGGAGCGTTTGTTTGGCAATAAACTAGGTCCCACTTCTACTCCATATTTTTACACACAATCTGTGCGGTTTTTTTTTTTCAAAATTACCAATATCTGAACTTCGGAAGAATACCAGATAATAATATCATAATACTCCGTAATAATTAGTATAAAATTAATATTTTTTCCTATTAATGACTGTCAGTTGGATAGTAACAATGTATTAGTCTTACAAAAGTAAAATCATTATTACGTGCTGTGTCAGTCTATACAAATTAATTTTTTATCATATTTATCATGATTAGCCATTTAATTACTAGCAAGGATAAAATTTTGAATAGCAATTGTAAAAGAGTCGTTTGGAAACCCTGTTTTTTGACTTATCAAACAACGTTTTCACTAAACACGTAATTTTTGATTTCACACGCTGAATTGTGTAACATAAGAAAAAATAACGTTGGGGTTACATTTCTGATTGTATGAGTGAAGTTGTTGTAAATGATCATGTTAGCTATTTTTCATATAATTTTTTTAATTTTATTAATAATATATAATTTAAATATATTTTTTTCAAAAATAAGCAGAATCGATCAATTTAGTCACTTTGCCTAGAACTTCATAAATTTCACTGGAAACAGCCAATACATCCGATTTGGGTATTACCAAACGGACTCTAAATCTGTGTCGTTCATGAATTATGCTATTATTTTATTCTAGAAGAAAAAGTAATTTGATATACTCCGTCTAATATTAAGGTATGCCTATGGATGTAAAGTTGTAAACTCTAAAAAATGCATATTTTTCTAAATAATAAACTTATTTTATTTAAAAATGAAATAATTACTAACTTTGTGAGTCGTTAGTAAAAAATACATTCACTTGTAAATATAAAATCACAATCGGTTTTTCAAAAATTGGTTTCCCTCACCTTTTTAAAAAATGTTTTGACCATATATAATATACTACGTGACTTTTATGGTTTGTCTTGTAGCTTTATTTCTCCTCTCAAAGTACATGGTCAAATTAATTTATCAAGTAAGTATTGCAGAGTATAATTATAAATATAACTCATATATCAAATTAATTTATCAAGTAAGTATTACGAAGTACAATTATATTGTATAGGCACTATTGAATTTAGATTAAATTTAGATCAATTATATTAGAAATACAAATTAAGAAATTACATGCAATGCACAAGTAGTGAAATAAGTAGTTAGTATAAAATTAAATATTATTTCCCATTAATGACTGTCAGTAGGATAGTAACAAATGTATTACTCTTACAAAAGTATAATCATTATTACACTTTGGTCACAGCATAACATTTTATTTTTATCATATTACTCACGATTAGTCACGATGCGAAAACAATATTGCATGTATAAATAATGCATTTATTTAGATTTTAGTTAATTTTATTTAAAGATTTTAGTGCATTTTATATATTAGCTAGCATTCAATCTACAATATAACCAATTTATGATTCATAAAAAATGTGATTTTTTAAAGTAAACAATGTGATTAATAAAGCCGTTGTCATAGTGATGTAGAAACAAAATCTTTATTTATGTCATGTATTTGTATCACCAAACTTTTTTAGCACATAGAAAGGCCAAAAGGTTATTGTTCACAATCCCGGCCAAACAAAGTTTTAATAATTTCAATAATTTGTGGTGTTAGGATAAAATCTCACAAATCATCTGCATCATTTAATTTGAATTTAGCTGATTTTTATTTTTTTTAATTACTTCTTCTTTTTGAAAAGTTATGGACATTTCATATTGAGATTCCTTTACTCTGAGTTAGGACCTTCCATGGAGAAGATGGGTGTAAAAGTGGGGTTTTGGCACTTTGGGAGTCAACCATTCCAGTTTTCACCCTTGTTCACCCTTGTAAGCCGCAACAACAAGAAATGTCAAGATTACTTTTGTATAAAAATTACTTTTTTTAAATAAATCAAACTTAGGTAAAAGAAAGAGAGAGAAAAGACGGTATGTCATAAGCCATGAGCGGAGACGGCTATAAACTCTAACCGCTCGGTTTCTCCTCATCCTCATATATGTTTCTTTCTTAATAGTGTAATACAGTAATTCTTTATTAACAAGATTTAAGCTGAAATCTAATGAAGAAATCAGATGAAATGAGAATTAATGTGAAAACAACAATTCTCTACCCAAGTCCACAACTGGTTTCTTGAGCAAAAAGATGAACATGGAGAGCGGAGGATATCATTGATAGAACAGAATGAGCAGAATGTACAGATTACAATGTCCAGCTTCCTTTATATATAATAGAGCTATTAAGAGTTATTAACCGACTTCAGTAAAGTATTATACATGTGTCAATTTAGTTAATAACTATTTGATATATCAAATCTCCCCTGGTGGAAGAACCTTGTCCTCAAGGTTCAAAATCAGGAAAAGTCTTCTTCAAATCATATTAGAATTCTCATGTTGCTTCTTCCACCGGCCGATTGCTCCATTGCACCAGAACTTTGGTAGCAGCTTTATTTTGTCTATTCACCAGTTTCATTTCCAAAATGGCTATTGGCTTATTCTCAAATAAATCAGGCATGACAGAAGGTAAAACTGAAGAACTCAATACATTGCCCACATGTTTCTTTAACTGTGACACATGAAACACTGGATGAATGCGAGAGTAATCGGGAAGGTGTAGTTTGTAGGCCACTGCACCACACTTATCAATCACCTTATAAGGTCCCAAGTACCTAGGAGATAGTTTTTGGTGATTCCGAGATACTGTACTTTGTTGCCTATAAGGTTGCAGTTTGACATAAACCAAATCTCCAATGTCAAATACCCTTTCACTCCTATGCAAATTAGCATAATGTTCCATCCTTTGTTGTGCTCTGGCCAAGTGAAATTTCAGAATTTGAATCATATCTTCTCTGGCTTGGAGGCTTCTTGCAACCGGCCATGTCAACCTTAGCTTCTCCTAGTAAGTAAGGTAAATGCATAGGTGGAGCTTGTCCATATACTACTTCATAGGTAGTGAGCTGAGTGGAGGTATGATAGGTGGTATTGTACCGCCATTCTGCCAATGGAAGTCATCTACTCCATTGATGAGGCTGACCACTGCACATGCACCTTAAATAGGTTTCTAAGCACCTATTAACAACTTCAGACCGGCCATCCATTTGAGGATGATAAGATGTTGAAGTATTTAAGCAAACTCCTTGTAATGTGAAAAGTTCTTTCCAGAAATCACTCATAAACACCGCATTTCTATCACTTGTAATTGATTGTGGAAACCCATGTAGCTTAAAAACATGATCTAAGAAGCATTGAGCTACTGTTGCAGCAGAATAAGGGTGTGAAAGAGACATAAAATGGGCAGCCTTGCTCAATCTGTCTACTACCACAAAAATAACAGCTTTTCCATAAGAGGAGGGTAATCCTTCCATGAAATCCATGGTTATCTCACTCCATACACTCTTAGGAATAGGTAATGGCTATAAGAGTCCTGGTGAGGCCGATCTGTCATATTTGTTTTGCTGGCAAATATTACAGGTTTTAATAAATTGCTGAAAATCAGTAGCCATCCCCTTCCAGTAAATAGTGCCTTAACTCTTTGGATTGTAGCATCCCTTCCTGAATGACCACTAGTACCTGCACAATGAATCCACTTCAGTATTTCATCTTTCAATGCTACCTCATTACCTATAACCAGCTTCCCTTTCCTCCTAAGCTGATTATGTAACCAAGTGTAGTGTTTCTTCCCTGTAGGATTTGTTTTAAGTACTTCAATGATTTGTTGAAGTTGAGGATCAATGTGGTAGCATTGTTGAATAGATTGTAACAAATCTGACCCCACCGCTGTTAAGGCCATACTCAAAATATCTGCACTCTTTATCCTGTATAGTGCATCTGCTGCCATATTTTCTTTGCCCGGTTTATACTGAATATCATAAGAAAAATCCAACAGTTTAGGAAGCCATTGTTGTTGTATAGGGGTATTCAGTCTTTGCTCTAGTAGATACTTAAGACTCTTCTGATCAGTCTTCTACTCTGGATGTTACATCAATGGTATTGCCATCTGCTACAGTAACTCTTGCACCCCCATCTTTAATCAATTTGCAACCTAGCTTCTCAGTCATCCTTTGATCTATGAAGTTATGTGTATTGCCAGAGTCTATTAGAATGAAGAGTGCTCTTTTACCATGCATTCCCTTGACTCTCTTGGTTCTATAATGGGATACTTCAGCCATTGCATTAACAGAAATTTGAATATTTTCTTGTATTAACACCTCTTCTTCTGAATTCGCCTCCTCTTCATCTGTCTCAATTAAAAATAGCTGGTTTTTCTTATGTTTGAGGTAATGATCATGTGTATATAGTTCATCACATTGATAACACAACAGTTTGGCCCTTCGTTCACTCATCTCTGTTGCAGTGAGAATTTTTCTATTCCCTTTTGTCAAATCAACTGATTTTTAACTATTCCCTTCCTTATATACAGTTCCAGCTTTAGGTATGTTATTATATGAAGTCTTCTTTCCCCCTTCATGATTTCTACTAAAACTTCCTCTACCGAAACTTGGATTCCCACTGGCAGAACTTGGTTTAGGATGAGCCATTTCATACAATTTACCCAGGGTACAACATTGACGAACAGACTGAGGTTGGAACATCCTTATGTGCATTTGTGTGTCATTTCTTAAACTAGCTAAATAAGCACTCGTCAAATGTTCTTCAGATAGATTTACTCGAGTTCTTATTGATTCAAAAACCTCATTATAAGCAATGATTCCATCAGTTTCCCTTAGTTTCATGAGATCAGCAATTGAATCATCTATAACTTCACCAAATCTTTCAGTTACTAACAATTTATATCTAGGCCAATCAAGAATCATACCTCTATTTTGTTCTGAAACCATTACAGATTGATGCCAACAAGCAGCCTTATCTTCCAGATGAATTGATGCCAAATTGACCTTAATATCTTCTGGAGTACGATCAATATTAAAGAACTGTTCACATTTGAACAACCAATC